TCCTTATTGTAACCCGCTTTTAAACAATTTTCGTTTTTTTGTGAATATTAGCATGATATTGTGCGTATTTATGCGAATTGGCCGGTTCGTAAATATTAAAATATACATATTATTTTGTCTGTGTGCTTATCTCCCTGCTTTGGCTGTCTCTTTTATTGAGCTTCCCCTTGGGCTGCTGGTTACAAATTGGTCTGTCCTAATTAGCCTTGCCGCCTGACAGTCGAAGCAAATCTATTCGCAACGCTTGTGCAACACGCGCCTACTAAGCGGATTTAAAGTTGCCGTCCAATGTGTAAGGTCGTTAGCAAATAATGGGCCAGTAGGCGCAGTTGTTGCTGCTGCTGAGGGCATTTGCTCAGCTGTAATTGAAGCTCCCATTTGGCAAGCTGGGTCCAAAAATGCGAGGCGGCTGCTGATGCGTTGCTGACAGCAAACACACGCAACGCGACAGGACCAAAGCCTGCCGCCAAAAGTGGGATGCCAAATGACAGGCACGACCAGTGTCAAAGGCGGGACATCGCCACACTCGCAAACATGTATACATATACGCACACTCACACACTCAACGCGCTGCTAAACTAATTAACTAAGCGCAGCTCTGGTGATGTCGGCTACGCGTCCTGTCCACTGCCATTGCTGAGGGTCAGGATTTTTTCCGCGCTGCTGCAGAAATGCGAATTGCAGCATTATACGGTTGTGTGTGTGTGTATGTTTGTGTGAGGGTATTAGGCCTCTGCTGGGTGTGATGGCTGGGACAGCAATTTCCAGTTGCCAACTCTGCACTCACTTGTTTGGCAATTAATTTGCCGGCGTCTGTTATTTCTTTCCCTGGCATGAGTGTTTGCAATCTAAACACGGTTATTCGCTAATTAGCAAAAAACAAGCAAACACACACAAAACGCACAAACACAACCAGTCAGAGTGAGAGAGCGCATTACATTTCCCTGTGGTTCCCCGTGTTTGTTTGCTTTGGAGGTGCTTGGCCCCGTTGCCATTTATTGGCGCCCCGCTCAAACTTGCCACATTTTTGTTTCCGTGTTTTTTTTTCTCACTTTGCCATAAAATTAGGTCGCTGTGTAATTAGCTGTTGTTGCTACAGTTTAAGCTCTTCAGTTTGGGCCTCCATTTTATTTATTTTAAATTGCCTTGCAAATGTCCTGTCTATTGCTCACCCGAGCTAAGCTGTACAGCTACATGGATTTTGGGATTTAATTTTAACTACCTGAAATTTTTGTTACTAAATGTTCAAATAAAAGATGTTAAAGGATTTGAATTTTATTTATTGTTCAATTTTATAATTCTCCACATTTTTAATTATGACAGGATTGTGCAAAACGTTTAACATATTATATAAAGCTTTGTTAATCTTACAAGCTCATGTAAGTGAGTTATTATTCTTTTAAACATTTTAATAAAATTGTACATACCCTTTCTATGGTAGACCATACACAAATTGTCCTTCTCTAGAGCTTTGACATTTCTTTGTTGAAGACGTCAACTCAAAAAATATGTGAAGCACTCGGAAATTTATTCAAAACAAAACCTATCAGATATTTCGCAGCATATTTTTCCAGCTCATGTTGTTTATTAAAATGCCCGACATAATTTCTATTAGAATTTCTTTGTCGTATTAGTTGTTGTAGTTTGCTGCTGCGGTGCTTTGTTTTACTTTTGTTTTGAGGTGTGTCCGGACTTAAGTTCCGCTTTAGCTGAGTTTCGTTTTGCACACATGGATTATATGTAAATATTTGCTTTGGTATTTTGGTATGAAGTTTTATGCTGTCAGCGGACTTTGCAGCTACCAAAGTCAGCACACATTCGCACACACCCACACACATTTTCTAACACACACACACACAAAGAATATATACTCACTGAGTGCGCATAGTTCTTAAGTTTGTGCTCAGCTATGCAGGGTTTATTTCCTTTTATATGTGAGAGTGAGTGTGAATGTGAATACGTAAAATGCCTTAACTTTTGGAGCAATAACTTCTTTGCACAGGCCTTCAGCATTTACGTACTGCTTTCAATTTTTCTATATAATTTATGGATGGACAATTTATGCTGCCATTTGCTTTGCAACATCTCAAATTGCTTGATAGCCTAGCCCGCGCGCCCTTTTCAATTTGCAAAAATTGCTTCTGCTTATATGCTCATAAATCTCAAGTATAAACCCGTAGAAATCAATTTAATTATGTGCCAGCTAACAGTATAGACAAGGAAAGCTTATGCGGTACGGATGGCCGCCTTATGAGTGCTTTGGCAACTTAATGTTTATTTTATGGTACTGGAAATCTATTGAACTGCATTTTGAATATGCCCAAGTAGCGGGTGCGATGAAAAACTTACCACTTACTGAAATTCATACAACTAGAGCCCAATGTCATGAATAACGATGTAATAAAATACGTGATATGAAAACCAAATGCTCGGCATGATGAACTATGCGCGTCGTCTGCTCCCACAGATACATAAGTTGGTCTCTCATGCTGATACCCACATAATTTCAAGGCATTTCTAGTGAATTAGCAGCCAGACAGACTACTACCCAATTTGAGCTCTAACCCACTACAATTTGGGGGCTCAGGCCTTTTCAGCTGGCGTTTGTTTGCATATTTGTACGCTCTGGGAGCTCACAGTCAGGCAAACCAACGTTTCGTACGCATTTTGCAATTGCAGTTTCAAATATAATGAGATAATGCACCAAAATAATAGCACTGACTGCGCTTTTGACCACTGACAACCAGCCATAGCGAGCGACACAAATACAAGCTCCAACTGTGACCAGAACTGAGCTTCATTGCAGCGGATTCAGTTTCCTGGCTCCAATTTTGTGATGCACAGCGATTTAGTGGCAACCGACCAGTGAAGGCATGGTTCAAGCGAGTGAAATATTCTGGTTCCGTATGAGACTCCACGTATGCAAACTATTTAAACACTTAATGTTTGTTCTGAATGGATACACTGCCAAAATGAGAGTACTAAGAGCATGAGCAATAGTTGATATATGTAATATTTTTATTTTTCTTTGAGCACGTGCAAATAATAAAAGTACACCCAAATAAATGTTATAATTATTTGATTAAACGTGGAAAATTATTGTCATTCATTCTACACAGTCTATTATTTCTAAAACTATAAAATAATTTTGCCATCATTTTATTATTAACATGAAACAAAGTACATTATATGAAACTTTATTAAAATAACTATTCACTGATTCAAAAACTCGAAAGCTATTATTACCAATTTTTAATATATATAAATTATAGCTTAAAATCAGAAAAGGCTTTCCTTTTTAGTGTAACTATTTTAATAGCTGAGTTTTAAATAGGTGTTTTCAGATTATTTATCTATCTAAGCAGTGTCGCGGTAAAGTCGAAGAGCTTTTGTTATTTCATTGTTACAAATTTTCAATGCAATTCTATATTAAACTAGATATATAGGATACAATTTATAATTTATTTAATATTATAGTTACGTTCAAATATTAATAATGCCAGGCTATTAGCAGGCTAGACGGCCCCATTGAAAATAATACAATTTGCGCCGGTTTGAATATATGATTAGCAACAAACAAAGCTGGTAAATAACTTTTGTTTCAATTCAATTAAAATATCATAATTACAAAAACTAAAGATAAGCCAAATGGCAGGAAAATGACTAACCTTTAACAATGTATATACATATATTTCGATAAACGGATAACATGCGCTGAGCGAATTTTTAAAGAGCATTTCTAGTCGTATATTCATAGTCACTTTGCTTTTTTGTTTTTGTGATAAATACGCTCTAGCTATTTTTTTTTGTTCCTGGAAGTTGCAAAAGAGCAGCACTTACCATAAATTGAACCCTTGGGCATTTTGAAAATGTGGACGCCAACAGTTTTGTGCTGTCAACTCAGTTGGCTTTCTGGTTTTCTTGTAATTCATCTCACTATAAGTGGCTAGGCAGCTTAAAGCCTGCATCTGACAGCTTGACATAATGCCCTGTTTACAATGCAAATCAATAAAGTGTAAATTGTAACATTAAATAGTCATTAATGTCTCTGGCCATTTGACCGGAAATTAATCAAGCAATAACCGCTGCTACCTTTTATATTTGACCAGTCAGTCGACCGATGTCTTCCTCAAACTGGCCCACAAACAAATACATGGACTGGCGAGCTCGGGGGGCCGATGGGCTGGTTGGTCAATATCGGCGAAAGGGTTCGTGTTTGCAGTAGGTTTATACATATCATTAATAACACACACACAAATTGATTTGGGCTTGTAGATATGTCAAACAACTGACGGAAACTGTTTATTATTGCTTCAAACGGAAAAGGATACGGATGTGTGAATCTGGGAGACGCAGCCGGAAGCATGGAAGGTGTCTACCTTAAATTTAAATTTGACATCAGAATTGAATGTTTGGTAGATTTAGTACTAATAACATTTTTCTACTGTAACATGGATTGAAATCTACTTACTCAAATATCGAGAAATTTAAGATATTTTGTTCAAAATATTTGAATTTATTTATACAAATTCGTATTCGAATTTATATACATTTCAGAGATTCTTTTTAGCTGACATAAAAGTGGTCGCCGTTTTGCTTGCCTTATTCGATTCCAAGCAATTCCAGTAGACACTTGTCATAAGAATTGCTCAATTAACACATAATTACGTTGACCGTGTAGCCTGAACTTTTCATAAAGTCCATTAGCAATACAACACACCTGCAAATAAAGCTTAGCTGACAGTTGAAAATTCTTTTGAAATACGAACAAAGTCCATGTATATAGACACACATTCATATACAAATATCTTCACTTATATCCGGTGACTAACATCCGTGTGTCAAGAAGCGCTGAAGCATTCATTTATGCATTTTTATTATATTATTTATTTTGCTGCTATCGTTTTGTTCCACTTTATTCGACTCTGGCCCTGTCTGGTCTACGTTAGCGTTGTAAAATTCTGTCAACTATTGCTTGAAGTGGAATTGTGGTTGGAGATCAAAGACATATTGGTGTGGCATAGTAGGTTGTCTGCCTCTCGTCAACGTCAAAGTGTAAACAAATATAATTCCACATGCAATTAAATTCACGGAAATCGTCGATGCCAAATCCGATTTTAATTAAAATCGTTTTCGTCGTGTCTATGTGGCATGTCATTGGCAGGAAGGAAGCAAGCTGGGCAGCCAGGTAAGCAAACACAGACCGGCAATCAGAAGGGAAAACAGGTGGAGAGCTACCTGCCTTGATACAGGCGGTAAGGGCCTGGCCCAAAACTTATTGAACCTTTTAGACATGTGAAATGATTGCTCTTTAAGTGTTGCAACATTTAAGAAAAAAAGTTTTTTCTGAATTTAATTGCAGCAATACTACTTAAGGCATTATTGTTTTCGGATTTAAGCTTAACTTATATTAGATATTTTGTTTGTGGCCAATTAAATTACTTAAAGCATTTTGCAGCATTTTATACATGGTCCCTAATTGATTAACAACGAATGTGGACCCAGCGTAAATATCACCAAAAGAAAGTCAACAAGTTTTAGACAATCGGACAATTAACCATAATTATGGGCGATCTAAGAATTTTTCTGAACATATATTTGAATGTTCCATATCAGGCAATTTTTTGTTGATTACTGGGTATGTTTTTGTCTGTCTTGCTATATAACAGCGAAATTTGCATCAGTGGCTGCATCAAAAGCTACGTGTAAGCCATTGATATTCATATATGAGCATGAACAGTTGGCAGCTGAATAGCGTTAAGTAAACATATACAACTGTCACACACACACACAACGTTGATTGCTCAAAACCAAAGGCAGCCAAGCGTGAGACCAACAACTAGCAACAAGCCAGGACATAAAGGCGCAAGGATGAGCCAACTGGAGGAGGCCACGAGAGTGGCAACATTTTGTGGCAGGCGACGCATGCCCATCGTGTCAGTGTGAGTACGAGTAGAAGCCGACAGGACACTCATCTACACCCATAAATATGAATTGTGGAGGGGGTTGAGGGGTTGTTTTAGTCAACTGTTTGCCGCCCCTGCCGCCCCTGCCGCCCCTGCCGCTCTGGTCCGTACTGGTCCAGTCCAGTGCGGTACGGCTTGTTATTTACAGCCAGTTTTGAGATCTTGTGGCATAATTTAAGCACCTTGTTTAGCCACTGTTTATGGTTTTGTCATGTCACTGGGCCAGCTTGTCTACTATAAATGTTGAATGTGTGCGAAAGCACTTTTGAGGTCACGAGGTCAATGATACACATTCATACATCAGAAAACACACACACGTACTCGCTCGAAAACAACTGTGAGTAGCTACCCATGAACATCGTGTGCAGAAACGGCGACACTTTAAATAATTTATAAATGCGCCAAATGAAAAACTTGGCCATAAAGTTTCCGACCTGGCATTCAAAAGGATTTGCTGCTTATTTTTGTTGAACAAGACACCCCGAACCCGCTTTTGGGCCAGCAAGCTGTTGCTGTATTGCAGCAGCCTTTACGCAAATCAACGAACAAATCAACGCAAAAAGCGTCACAACAACAGTGAAAATCCTTTATGCTTACCAAACGATTTTGCTGCTGTCAGCATAAAATTCTTCGGCTGAGCAAAAGTACAACGTATGGAATTGCAAAATAAAAACCGCAGCATTTTTATATCACAATTGTGTGTGCGCGCGGAGGGGGGATTTTTTTGTGTGGTGGCTGTTGACTGCTTCACATTATGCAAACAAGTCTGACTCAAACCTCAATTGTTCCCAGCTTCACCCTTTGCTTGCGCTCAGTCGCACTTTGACGTTGAGCATTTGCATACTCTGGCAGCAGACGGGCCAAAACAGGTGGGACCTTAACCGTCGCTTAGAACTTTCGGCGCTTCTAAATACAAAATGGCATAAATATGAGCATTATACCATAATATGTAGAGGGAAGAGAACCTTTTTGTTAAAATAATTCTGTCTAAATTGAGAAACTATAATATAAGTTGGTTGATAGTTGATAGTTGTATCAATATGTGCATCTAAATATTGTCTATTTGTATGTATTCATAACCATATTCATCTTTGAGTATTTATTGTATGTTCATAGTCTTATCTTATTGGCATGGACATTTTTGTTGCTATTCAAAAACAGAATCAAAGAAGAAATCAACTTATTAGAGTGTCTCAATTTAATTGCATCGAGTTATAGCGCTTTGCAAGGCATTAAATTCGCCAACAAGCATATCGCAACGCATATCGCAGTTCGCATTGCTCATACGCCGCGTAAGCCATTAAATATGCATTGGTTGATATCAGCAAAGCCGTAACGAAAACAGCTTACGTGGCATTTGTGGCCCCCAGCATCTGACTGTGTGCGTGTGTGTGTGTACGTTGTCAGCGAGACGCCAACAACAATAAGAAAAAAAGAAGCGAACCAACAAAAAATATCCAATGCATATGTGAAAGAAAGAAAAAAACAATAGAATTTAAATGATTTTAATGCGTACATTGGATTTTATTGAAGCCAACGAGGCAGTTCGGAGTTTTGTTATGAGCTACACGGCCATCATATGAATACCAAGCCAGTGCCAGGACACACACACACACACACCCTCTCTCTCTCTCTCGTTCTCAGTGTGTCAGTTGGCAGCTGGCTGGGTGCGGCATTTCATTCGCACTGAGCAATAATAATAATTGTCAATTGCAGCAGCTGTCGCCAAGCGTCGCGAGCGGCTTTTTTCATATTCAATTTCAAATGAAAATTTCATACCGCTAGCACCCGAAAACCTGAATCCCACTCAGTCCAAGCACCAAAGCCGGCCCAGATCCGTGCGTAGAAGCGGTGTAAATTTCACGTTAGCTTTGTTAAATTCATTCCTGGTATGCCAGCAAAATCTTTTGCATACTTTCCAGCAAGGCCAATGTAGCACAGCGGCGGGGACAGCTGCTAGTTTTTCTGGTATTATTTAACAAATTTTTTGCACATTTCTTTTCTTGCTTTTTTTTGTGTAGTTTTTATTTTGAAACGCCCGCTGGTGTGCGTTTAGGTGTTCGTGTGTGTGTTTGTGATTAGCATGGAGCGTAGAGTTATGTGCGGTTTTTGTGGGTTTCTGTTTTCGCTGCGCTCAGCTATTTTGGAATTAACTTGATCTGCTTTGAGCAGATTCCCAAGCATTTTCGTATAAGCTTCTCCGCTCACGTTTAGTAACAGATTTTGATTAGAAATTGCTTGAGGTTGGCAGCTGTTTGCTGTTGTTTTTGTTTCAGCCACCAAGTTGATTGCATCGGTGTGGCTGCAGATTGTTAGTGTTTATGGACAGTTTATGGTATAGTTCTGGAATTGGGTCAACGCCTGGCCGGAAAATTATTTAATTCCAATTTGTTTCTACAGCCGTGCAAAGTGTGGCTAATGAGATACATTAGCTTATAAACTGACATGCATATTAGGTTTTAACTAGATGATTTCTAAATATCTTCTCGAATCTGAATATGTGAACTTAATTTTATGCTTTATTGCACAAACTGTCTCTAATACATGCCTTTACTAAAGCCAAGTTTCTTCCTTTGCAGTCTATAAGGTATAATACACATGTACGCAGATGCATTTTCCAAGTGAATTCATATTTTATTTGTAATTTTAAAACTGAGTTCAATGCCAATTATATAAATTATTTAAATGTAAGAAATGTAAATTAAATTATTTCTTAAAGTATGATTATGGAAAAAACAGGCTTTACCCGTTTTGCACTGATTCAACACCAAAAGGAAAGGTTCCCCATGGAGTTCGTTTGGAAGCTCGGTTGTCATATGTGTACTCAAACAGAAGCCATTCATTGAAATGCAAATGAATTGTATGTGCCGTACAAGCCAGAACAACTGCAATCGCAACTCAGGCCCCAGCTGCAATGGAAACAGAAGCAACAGAACCAACAACGATAATAGGCACATAACAACATTATCATTAGTAGGCAACGGCAGCACATTAAATTGCAATTGTTGTTGGCTTGTTCATATTGCAATTGTTGCTGTTGTTCTCCTTTTAGTTATTGTGCTGCTAAAATCCTCGTGTGCAAGTGTCTAATTGATTTTGTTACGTCAGGTGCAAAAGCCTCGTCGCCTGGGCGCACATGGCGTATGCGTGCTTTGCATGGTGGGGTGGCAATGGAAGCTGGGCACAGCATTGATTTGCATATGAGCCTCACTGCAACTAAAAGCGCATTTTAAAGCTTTTGAGCATAACGAACAAGCGTTTCAGTTACCTGCCAAGTAGTTTTACGTCATGTGTTTGCCAGCAAATTTCATTTTGATGAAGCCAATGTGTCTGTGTGTGTGTGTGTGTGCTCAGCAGCCCAGTTGGCCTTAAACTGACTGAAAGCCTCCAGCTGAGTGGCCTGCTCCGGTACCGCACCAACGCCCGTTCCTGTTACGACCCCGCCTGCCGAGTCATTAGCATATGTTGCTGGAGTTCCAACAAAATAGTAAACAACCAGCAAAACAGCCGACACACACATACACACCGCACCACAGGCGGCCGTTTTGGTTGGGCTCAGCTGACAGGCGAGCTGTCAAAGCGGATTTTAGAGCACTCGCCGCCTGGCAAACAAAACATACAAAAACAAACAGCCACAGGACATAGAAACGTTGAACGTCAGGCCGTTACTTGTGTACCCTTACGATCGACTTTTAAGTATTCAGATTCGTATAATTTACATTCTCTATATAACAAGATAAATAACAGGAAAATATTTACATGCAATGAATAATTTTGTTTGATTAATTTATTAATTAAAGTTCGCTTTATGATCGTATTGAATGAATCAATGAATATTCTCTATTCTCTCTATTCAAATCGCTAACGAGTTTACAAAACATATAAGGTCGAATTTTAAAAAAATAAATCAACTATTTTTTTTGTTAAAATATATTGAAGTACTTCGGCTTGTTTTAAATTTATACTTAGTCAAACTTGTGAAGATCAGGTAATTACTTTGCTCTATTTTTACCGCATTGGGATTATGAATTAAAATTTTATTAAATGTCACAGATCATGCATTGCCTTTCAATTTGCATGCTGTCCCCAAATGTAGCTTATAGTAATGATACCTGGTAGATTGCTGTGATTATAACTACAGCTACAAACACCCGTCGTGAGTTGAGTGTTGGGCAAAAAGGTCCAAGTACGTGTCTTGCTTGCTGTTGTTGGTGTTGTGGCCGCTGTTGTTGGTGTTGCTGTTGCTGCTGTTGGTGGTGCTGCTGCTGTTGTTGATGCTGCTGTTGGCTTGGCCTTGGCCAAAATGCACTGACGCAGTTGTTATCGTTGTATGTTGTTGTTGTTTTTGCTATACGTGCTTTTGATGTTGCTGTTTTTGTGGTAACAATTATTGACAAGTGCGTGCTCGGCAAGAGTACGAACCGACCTTACGTAATACCATACCATCATGCCCTATAAACATAAATATATATATATATTTATTTATGCGTATATGCAAGTGCTAGTATGTATAGGCATACATACATATTTAATTTTCATTATGCAGATCGTGAAATAACAGCCACTTGGCGAAACTTGCCCATGTTTCCAGGTGCTGTACAAGTAAGCCATGTAACCAAATACGAATATTATTGTTAACCTAATCAGCTGATAGTACACATTAGTTTTAAGAAAGTTTTATTACACAGGACACAGGGAGAATGACGTCACACTTATATCAGCAGTCCATTAGTACGTATATTATTCAGCAAGTATTTTAAATATACTAATTTTGATGAATCCCTTTTAACGGATATGGTAGGCAATGGACAACTACTTACAGTGCCTCGCATCCCGCTTAAATCAAAACGCAAGACGAGACGCTCGACAATCTCTGCCGGCAAACGAACACCTTTACCTAATATTATGGATAATAAACCCATATCACAAAGGGTTTTCCTCTATATGCAGCTGAAGAATGTTTCAAACCTGCCAGTGGTTGCATATCCGCTGGAGCTGCATTTATACCATGCGAGCAACACACTGCAGAATATGTCGGAGCATTACACAACAGAGACGATTATTCATCAGGATGAGTTCAACATGGATAGGCCAGCGTTTGCGTTGGGGATTATTCAGGACGATATTGATGATATGAACTCATTCAGTGATAATCCGCTGGTCGTCACCATGTATCAGCGCATTCCACGCCATCTCAAGCGCGATCTTATTACCGTGGAAAAGGTGCGAACACAGGTGTCAAGTTGGCAGATTACGGTAGAAAAACAGCCTGAGAAGCACTTGGCCAAAGTGCCAAAGGAAACAGATAAAGCTGCTGGGGATGCAACCAAAGAAACTGATACCGCTACCGAAGGGCTTGCCTCCATAGAGCCAGATGAATTCACGGGCGAGGGCGCTGAGGAAGACGATGAATATATTGAAGAAAGTCTGGAATTAGTATCGCGAGGCCATTGCGATCTGCTGCAACTTTTTCAGAGTAAGCGCTTCATCAGCAACATTCCGATCATGCTGTACCCGGAGTACGATCGCAAATTGCAGACACGCACTGCCCAAAAGATAACCACCACCAGCGAGTGGCACATGTACTCCATACTGCCGATACTCAAAAATATACATTTTACAAATCTGGTCTTTATAACGCTGGAATCCATTTATAATGCGCCCGAGGATCTGCATGATAGAGCGGCACACTTGGGCATGATTATCTCCATTCGCTCCACAAGGCCAGACCTGAATGATCAGTATGAGGTGCTGCCCCTGTGCACCTTCTATAGCTTTGGTTCGCAGATCATCAACGAACAGAACATTATCATCGTCTGGGAGAGCATTAAGCGCGACCTCTTGGGTAAGGCGCCCCTCGGGGTTGCCAACGTTCAAATGGAAACAAATTTGCGCATCAAGGTGCACCGCCTGTTCCGGCAGTTGCTCATGACGCAGGGAGTCGATTTCAAGCTAGAAGAGATTAATCCTGCAGTGGACAGTGCACTGGTCAATAACTCGCTGCATCGGTATGTCCTGACCACGCAGCTGCGAGAAATACTTGAAGCCGCCGTTGTGCATAATCAATACGAGTTGCTCCTGCAGCTCTACGATGAAATCCCTCTCAATGTGATGTACGAGGGCGTCATAAATCCAAGTGTCTTTGGCTACCCAGAGGGTAAGTATTAAATGCATTCTATTAGAGCTTTAAAATATAAATTATTAAGATATTATTGAGTAAAAGCTGGTGTAGGAGGGTATATAAGTTTTGTGTGAATTTTTGGGACATGCAGAAGAGAGCATCCTTGAACCTTATTAACTACATGCATGAATTTTTAACCGCCATCGACTGGATTGTCGGTCTGTAAGGCACGCCTGCTCAACGATATTTTTCTATTTTATCTCTATCACTAAAGGATACAGAAACATCTAATTTTGAACGTAAAGTCTTATTGGTTAAAATTACGATGGGTCAAATTTTGTGCACTTGGGGAAATATATCATTTTATCTTTAAATTAAGCTTTGTTTTAATTTCTTAGTAAACGCGTGCCGCTTTGCCACTCAGCTGACGGCTGTCAGCAAAAAAACCACAAGAAAGACATTCAGAACGACAGAAGTATCTCTGCCAGAACTGCCCATGTTTGCCATTCTGAATCTATGCTTTTTTCAAACGTTAACAAGCCGCAATGAGCCTCTGGATGCCTACAACGAGAGCGACTTAAAGTCTGCCAAGCTGCGTCGTTGCCAAGCGGTTAATTTTTCAAACGAGGACGATAACGCTCGTGACATTTTGAAGGAGCTGTATCGCAACTTCGACGAGCACATCAAGGAGTTGATCAGTTTCATCATCAAGAACGATGTGACCAGCATTGAGGAGAGGCACAACTATTTCTGCTGCAATTTGAGCAACCTAAGGGATCTACTAGTTGACATTTGCGGCTGCGATTTCAATGTTCGCATGCCCACCAAGACCAACATTGAATTTCGGGTAATTACCTTCTTGAATTTTAGTATGTAACAAGCTTCTCATTTCTCCAACTATCCAGGAGATGCTGACGCACATGCACAAGGAGCTGATGGAGCGGATCGTTTGCCTTCTGAATGACTGTAGCTGGGAGGGTCTCAGCAAGTGCGTGCTCAATCAATGCAACGATCAGCCGCGGATAAGGCGCCTAATGGAGGAGTATCGCAACTTGTGCATCATTGGCGACTGCGTGTTGGCCAAGCAGCTGTTCACCGAGCTCAAAGCTGGCTGCACCAATAAATTGCTGCTCAGCTTCTACGTCTTTCTCAATTCTGTCGAGAGCCTCAACTTTGCGCAGGCCACCAACTACTTGCAAGCTCAAAAGGAGCTCAAATGGCAGGGCGAATACTTTGTGTGTGTATTAGTTATTCTTATGACAAATCAAGAGAATTACAAAACGCATCCTTATCCACATAGAAATCTTGTGAAGCTTTACATTGACTACAAGATGCAGTTGAAGTCGGAGGAGCTGCCAGGCGAGGCTTACAGCGATATGATTGAAAAGCTGCGCGTCTTCGCCAGCAACAACAACTTGGATCGCGAGGCATGGGTGCTGTTGTATTGCTTCTACAAGCAGAAAAACTATCTACCCGGCATGGAGTTCACGCGGTGGAAGTATGAGAATCTTTACGATGTACCGGGCAAAACAATGCCGCTGATACCACGCTCACTCTTCGAGACCTTTATGCCCGACGATTTCAATATAACCGAAAAGAGCGTTCATATTGTTAA